GGATGAGTCTCCGGCCCAGCGGGACCACAGGCAGGGCTGCGGGGAGGGGTTGCACAGCTGGGCTGACTGCGTGTGCTTGCTGCATCGGCAGGGACCTGCTGTGACCTGCGGGGGCATCTCTGCACACCCCACGACCGAGGCCTCAACAACAAATGCTTTGATGACTGCATGTGTACGGAAGGTGAGTCTGTACTCCTTGTGCAGGGGGCTCCCCTGCTCAGGCAACCCTGCTCCAGGAAAGCCTCCCTCTCATGAAGCTGATTCTGCAGTGAGGGGGGACAAGATTTCCTGGCTGCGAAGGAGGGAGTGGGAGAATCCCTCGGGTGCTGAAGACATGAGCAAGAATAGCTTTGCTCAGGGCCTTCCCAACCTGTGAACTCACTTAGTCTTGAGGGCTGGCATCGTTTCTCAGATGTGCTTTTTCCACCTCTTGAAATCCAGGCTGGTGTGATCTCCCAGGATCTGGAGGAGGGAGAAGGCAGGAGACAGGAGCATGTCTCTAAATAAGACCCAACCAGAGAAGGCTGGCGGCTTTCGGCTTTCACACCAGAATCTTCTCCCAGGGAAGGCATTCCAAGTGTGATAAGAGGCTAGAGGTGGGCTCCTGACCTCGTCCAGGGGAGGGGTACACTTTGGCCGCTCCCTTTTACCCCCCAGAGCTCCTCCCTGGTTCCGGTTTCTCTCCTGGAACCTCAGAACCACCCTCAGAATAGAGCTTTCATGGCGTCCACTTTGCAGATAGGCTACAGAGACACAGGCAGCTCAAGTGACTCACCCAGAAGAACACAGCTAGAAGAGGGAGGGGATATTGGCAATCCTGTATATATTAAAGTAGCCAGAACAATCTAAGGAATCCTCCTCTCCCACCACTCCACTCCAGTCACGACCAGTTGTAGCCCACCTGTCCTCTCTCGCCCACCCGACTCCCTCATTCCAATGTGATCTCGAAGGAACTGCAGGTACTTCATTGGTGCACATTTCAGCATCTATCTCCAGTAATCAATACCCTTTTAAGACAAAATGCCAGGGCCAGCCAGGCGTCGTGGTGGTTCAGGCGGCTGGATCCCACATGGCCGACTGCATGATTAGTCCTGGATCTAGCAGCTTGAAAACCATGCTGGGCCTGTGTTCATGGGTGCCCAAAATCCTGAGAGGAGACTGGAGAGAAGGGATTGCAGCAGGCCACACCCCTAGGGGGTGATTTCTCACTTCTTTTTAAAAAGAATTATTTATTTAGTTAGTTCCATTTGTTATTATTATTATTTTTTTAAGAATTATTTTCTTTTACTGTATTTGTTTATTTTAATTTGACCAGAGAGAGAGAAAGCAAGCTGCCAGGCCCGGGATTCAAACTGTGGTCAGCTATGTGGGAGTCCAGCACTCTTAACCACCACACCACCTGTTGGCCCCATTATTATTATTTTTTAATTTGACCAGACAGAGACAGAGAAAGAGAGAAAGGGAAAGCGAGAAAGCAAGCTGCTAGGTCCGGGACTCAAACTGTGGTCAGCTAAGGGGGAATCCAGTGCCTTTATCCACCCGGCCACCTGCTGGCCCCCACTTTCTTTCTTTCTCTCTCCTGTCTCTGGAGAGTGTGCACACCCTATGGCAAATTGGAGGGAAAAAAAGTGCCAAAACAAATAGTTACTCAATACCATCCACTATCCAGTCGGCATCCACATCTCCCATGCAGGAAAATTCCTCTCAGCCCCTATGAACCTGAGATGCAGGCCCGATTTTGCCCAGATCCTCAAAAAGTATCTGCTGTGACAGCAATGAAGCTATTTAGCTCTGAGTACTCGTTCCTCTTGTCGGTTACATTTCCTGAGTGCCTACTGTGTGCCAGGTACTGTTCTGGGCACTGGAGTTCCCGCGGTGAAACGAACCAGCCAGTTCTGTGCCCATGGATTGCATTCTAGTGAGAAGAGCACACAAAAAGCACATAAACAGATACAATGTCTTTAGAAAGTCCTAAGGGCTAGAAAGAAAATAATGTGGGGTGATGGTGATGAATACCAGAGGGGTTTCAGAAAGGATGGGCAGAAACAGCAACTCGCAGGGGCTTGGGTCCTGGGGGCTGGGGGTGGATTCTAGGCAAGGGGCAGAGTATACAGGTAAGGACCTTGGGCAGGAACAAACCTGGCGAGGCACATAGTGACCAATGGGGAAGGTGCTACAGAGGGAGGAGGGAGAAGCTTCCAGAAGGATCACGCAGGACCTTGCCATCTTCATTTGGCTTTTGTCTGTGTGTAACTGGAAGCTGGCAGCAGGTTTGGAAGGAGCATGATCTGACATAGGAGTTTCGATGTCTGTGCCAGCGGCAGGACAGTGGGGCCAAAGTGGAGAAGGGGCTGACTGGGAGGTCTGGAGGGCCCGACCTGGGGCTTCGTGGCTAAAGTGACTGGATTGCACATGGTCAACTGTGTAGATCAAGCCCTGGGCCCAGTGGCTTGAAAAACATGCTGGCGTGTGCATGTCCAGGAGTTCAACAGGTTGGAGACCTGGAGGAGAAGGCACTGCAGTGTGACCGTGCTCCGAGGGCGTGCTTTCTCCTCCCCCCGCACAGTGAGTGCACATCCCTCTAGTAAAAACAAACAAAGCTATTTGAAACCCTCCAGAACTCAGGCTGGTACTGACTGCTCAATTTCAGCCCTGGGCCCAGTGTTGGGCATTTTGGAATTTCTCAGATGTCCTCATGTGGGACCTGGGTGCCTTAACCACCAGGCCACGGAGCCCGGTCCATGCTATGGGTTTTGGCAAATGCATGACATGGATCCACAGTTTAGGCCTTAAACAGAATGTTTTCACTGTCCTAAACATCTCCTGCTCCATCTGCTCATCCCTCCCCCCTGAGTCTTTTTAAGGCTCCTCCAGCTACTCTGTGGAGGATGGGTTGCAAGGCAGATTAAAGGAGGGTGAATCGCTCTCCTGACTTCCTTGCCTTTCTCCGCTCAGGTCTGCGCTGCTACTCCAAATTCCACTGGAACTGCAGGGTCACGCGGAGGAAGGGGCACTGCGTGGAGCCCGAGACAGCCAACAGCGACCAGGGATCCTTCATCAACGTTGGAGGCGCCTCCCCACCAGCCTGGGGACTGAGTCCCAGGAAGTTTGGCAAACCGGGCAATGTGTTCCTGACGACCCCTGAGAGATCACCCGGGGGACCCCATGACTGAGGCTGCAGACTCAGGCCCAGGATATTCAGTCGCAGGAGCGAAGTGGCTGGGCGCACAAGCTGTCCTGCCCAGGAGCCCAGCGGCCACACACCCACACCCAACGTTCGCACCTGCTCAACCCGCGTGGCCAGGCTCATCGCAATGGCGATGTCGAAAGTGCCCTCTACTGTCCGCCAGCAGCTCTGCAACAGTTTCCAGTTAACCAAGAGGTTTTTGAGAGTGGAAGAGATGTGGCCTCCCGGACAGGAATCCAAGGGTAGATGATGAAGAAGCAACGACCCCTCTGTGCCAGGCACTCTGCCAAGTGTGTGACACACCTTATGTCACTGAGTGAGCACAACCACCTTTTCAGGTAGCGTTATCACTATCTTGCAGGTGAGGACACTGAGGCACAGGTGCGTTACCTGACTTGTCCAAGGTCCCAAATCCACGTTCCCCAAACTTTAATGTGTGTAAGAGGATTCTGTTAAAATGCAGACTCTGATTCAGTCAATTCTGCATTTTTAACATGCTCCCAGGGAATGTTCACACCGCTGGTCTAGGATGCCCTTGAAAGGGGCCAGGTCCTAGGGAGCAGATGGCAGAGCGAGGGTCTGAACCTGGGCCAGGGCTATCGCGTTGCAGTGCCCACCTCCTTGCCTCTCTACGACTAAGAGCTGCCTCCAGGTTCTCCGTGCACCGTGTGCCCCTGGTACCTCCTTCACGGTGGTTGGGATGGCTTGGCTGTTCTCTGCCTTCCCTGGACAAAGGCATCATCTCTCAAAATGAAGCAAAATGCACATTAAGCACCTGCTTGTGTGTGAAGGACGGTTTGGGCAGATTGCTCCCTGCCCTCTGATCGTTGATATTCTGACATGTGAGGTGCTGGGAGGGAACGATAGCGTTGTTCCTTATATTATTGGGTTGTCGGAGAGTCATGATGTATTCTTTCTGGTTTTCCATGCAAAAATGCACAGGACTCTTCCAACAACCCAATACTATATCCTGCTGTCCAGCCCTGGGACGTGTGCTTTCTAGTTGCTTCTACCAAGAGCTTCTACCCCAGGGTGCTGGTGCAAGCATGGCCTGTAAAAGTGCATGTACATTGGGCCGGCCCGTGGTGTGGTGGTTCATGGCGCTGGGACTCCCCCCTGGCCGACCACGGTTCGAGTCCCAGACCTGGCGGCTTGCTTTCTCACTTTCCCTCTCTCTCTCTCCCTCTCCCTTTCTGGTCAAATTAAACTAAATAAAGTTAAATAAAATACTTTTTTAAAAAAGTGCATATACATCAACTCTGCACACCCACTTAGCATACCGCTCAGGGCTTCCCAGGCCTCCCCGAGACCCTCCCTGGACCCCACTCCACAGCTCTGCAGCAGAGTCAGAGCTGGGGAAGCTGAGGCAGCTCCGTGGTTGAGGTGCTCTCTGAAGCTAACTGGCCCCCGACAGGCCAGACCCACTAATGCCCACGCAGAGCACCTGGCCCAGCAGACCTGGCTCCAGGACCCACTTGAGGAGAACCCTTTCAATCCCCCTTTCCTGACATGTCACTCCAGGTCAGGTCTTTGATCCAGAGAAAACTAGACAAAAACTTCAGCAAATAAAAAACCTTTTCCCCTCCACATGCCTCACTGGGCTGGACCATGCCCAGAGAATGCCAGGGCTGTTTACTGCATGGAGAAAATCAGTCAGGGTCAGGGATCAGGCACCAAGGCAAGAAGGCAGATCTAGACGAAACCAAATCCACTTGCTCTTCTCTCCCTATTCAAGCGTGATAGGCATGGGAACTTTTCAGGGGAGATGGGAGGGCAAGAGATTGAAAGAGATCAAAGCAGCTAGTTGGAAAGCGAATCTGCCAGCAGTTTTGTACTTGAGACCAGCAACCCGCATGCTGTGTCTGCCTCACACGGAGGGGCATGTGGGATTGTACTGGCTCAGTGGGGATTGTTCCCTAGAGGGCTGGCTGCAGGCGGAGAACCCAGCATTGCTATGGCTGGGGGGCAGCTGTTAGGATGACCCAGAATATCAGCAATGGAAACTGGGAGAGGTCAGCATGAAGCGGAAAGGCCCACAGAACTAGCACTGCCTATCAGGGGAGTTCCATAGACTACAGGGCAGGTCTCCGCCTCAGCAACTCCATTTTATATCTGCAGGGGGCGCAGTGAGTGGGCAGAATCCTCTTAACTCCAGAGCTGGGGATCCCAAAGCTTCCTCCGGGGTTTAATCAACCTCTCTGCCAGGAAGTTCTGCCTCGTATCTCTCTTTAATTACTTTTGCTGGCAAAGAAGCAAATTTCCACTAATCCAGGGTTTCAGCAAACTTCTACTATGAAAGGTCAAGTATGTACTGGGTTGTTAGAAAAGTCATTATATATTTTTCTGTTTTTCTATGCAAAAATGCATCACCACTTTTGCAATGACCCAATATATATCTTACGCTTTACGGTCTCTGTCATGCTACTCAACTCTCCCATCGCTTGAAGAAGCCACGGACAGAATGTGAGTGAATTGGCATGGCTGTATTCCAATAAAACTATTTATGGACATATATTTTATTTTTATTTATTTTTAAAATTTTTTGTAGAGAGGTTTTTGGTATAGGGCACGTACGCTCGCCAGAGAGACAGAGAAGCAGAGAGACAGAAAAAGAGAAATTACCCCCCAGGGGGATGGCCATGAACAATTCCTTCTGCTCCATTCTCCTCTTGGGATTTTGGGCACGCATGCACATGTGCCCGGTGTGAATTTTAAGCTGCCGGGTCCAGGACTCAAACCTCAGTCGACTACATGGGAGTCCCGTGATGTAACCATTGCACCATCTGCTGATCCCGGACATAGATTTGATTTTCATGTTATAAAATATTTTTTTCTTTTGATTTTCTGAAACCATCCACATACAAAAACCCACTCAGTTTACAGATTATGCAAAAATCGGCATTGGAGCAGATTTGGCCCCAGACTGCTGTATGCCAACTCCGGTCTAGTCCCCTGGCTCTCTACCCTGGCTGAGCATTGGGATAATCTGGCGAACTTTTTGGGGGGAACTTTTTTTTTTTTGAGAGGTTTTCGCTATAGGACGCATGCGCTCACCAGACAGGCAGACAGAAAGCAAGAAATCACCCCCCGGGGGGATGGCCACACCACAATCCCTTCTCCTCCATTCTCCTCTCGGGATCTTGGGCACTCACGCACACGCACCCGGCGTGAGATTTTTAAGCCACTGGGTCCAGGATGCAAACCGCGGTCGACTACGTGGGAGTCCAGTGACATAGTCATTACGCTAACTGCTGGTCCCCTTGGGGGAACTTTTTAAGGCATGGACCCATTTGCAAAAATCCCATTTTATTTGGGGTGGGTTGTAGTCTGGGCTTTGTTTAGAAAGCTCCCCAAGTAGCTCTTGTGACAGCTCGGCCTGAGAACCTCTGTGCTCATCCCGCCACCGGTAGTGGTGTGGCTGGGGACAAAACAGCCTGTCCCACCTCTCGCCATCTTGGTAACTGTAGGACAGTGACTTAGGGTCTCTCTGTGCCTTGATTCTTTTCATCTATAAAATAGGGAAATAACTCTTCCTTCCTAAGAGTGTTGTGAAAAGCAAATGCGTAATTCTTATAAGGCATTAGAATAGTGCCTGGTACATCCTAAGCCACTCGTGTGAGCTGGTTATTCTAGGAGAGTTTTAGTAGGTGTTCTGTTCTTCAACAAGGATCTATCACATATTCAAAGATAACATCTAAGTTGCCATTCAGACCGCTGCTTCAAAGAGTGTTCCAGAGACTCTGGGGCCAGGAGGTGCCCCGTTAGAAAAGGCAGGTGGGTTGTGTGGTCAAAGAGGTTTGAGGGACCAGCAGTTAGCGTAATGACTATGTCGCTGGACTCCCACATAGTCGACCGCAGTTCGAGTCCTGGACCCAGTGGCTTAAAATCCCTCCAGGAGAATGGAGGAGAAGGGATTGCGGCATGGCCATCCCCCCGGGGGGTGATTTCTTGCTTTCTGTCTGTCTGTCTCTGTCTGTCTGTCTGGTGAGTGCATGTGCCCTATAGCAAAAACCTCTCCAAAAAAAAAAAAAAAAAAAGAAAGAAAGAAAAAAGAAAAAAAAAGAATAAAAAGAGGTTTGAGAAACTCTTCTGGACTCAGCCCTAGTGTAGAGCTGGAGGAGTAAGTGACTTTTGCAATAACAGGTTCACAAATCTAAACATCCACCCCAGGAGGAGCTGAGCAGGGGCCACCTGGAAGTCATTCCCTGTGGGGACTGCCACCTGAGCCCAGCCTCAATGGAAAACGACAGCTTTATGTGCCCCTTGAAGAGTGACCAAGCCACAGTTCAAACCCCAAAGCTGTAGCCCCTTCTACCACCAAGGTGCTGCTGGTGGATCCTTTAAGCCACATTCAGCCCATCCCATAAAATGTAATGTGAGGTGCTGGGCACATGGCTCCCTGGAATAGGGTTCACATTGCTGCTGGAGAGACAGTAAACTTACATGTAGCCTACAAGGAATGCGCTTATGAAACCACACTACAGCCAGGGCGGCTGGGAGACAGTGGAGGGGCCAGATAAGCCAACCATTGAGGCTCCTCATCGTGGGTTCCATGGGGCTGGGTTAGGCTGTATCACTTCCGTGGTAGTCCTCACCAGCATGTGTGTGTGCGTGTGTGCTGGAGAGGGATTTGCAGGGATGGGCAGTTTGCCGGGGTTTATATTGCAGGGCGTGTATTTTCTGAACTCCAAGTCAGAACTGGTGGTCTGATGCAGGACCTGCGGGCTGGCTGCTTCAGAGTGCAAGGGGCTTTCTACTCCTGCACTCCTCAGAGTGGCCCTGGGCCAGCAGCTCGCCAGGGAACTTGGGAGAAATAGAATCTCACACCTCACTGGCAACTACTGAATCAGAAAGCTCTGATGTGAGCCAGCCATTGGTTTTTAACGAGTTTCCATATTATTCCTGGGCCCCATCGAGTTGGAGAGTCACAGGTGTAGGAGATAGAGGGAAACCCAGAAATGGCAGGGGTCAGGGACATTTGGATAA